GAACTTTCAAAACATTACTCGTGTCTATTAATTTCCAAATTGTACTCGAGATCGTGCGATTTCCTATACTAATAATAATAATAGTAAAAATTATAACAATAATTACTATAATAATGATATATATACCAGGCGTATTCGACATGCATATACTCACACATATGCACACCAAGTAAACAAGTAATGACCGGTCCCTAACTGTAATATTTGTGTGACGTTTGATAGGTATGGTGATCGATTTCCCAAGTCGTTCTGGGGCAAAGCCTTTGCGATCAACTGGATGCTATCAGGGATCATAATCTATGGCATTTTATCGAGCCTGCTTCAGACAGCTGTTACCACAATAGCCATATCTTTTGATACTAAGTTCAATGGCAAACAGGTCAGTATAGTCATAAGCTAATTGCCCTAAACAGGCTAAATTGATGAGCCGTTAAGGAATCCCGATTCCCAAACCAATTATAATGCATTGGTGAACACAATAGGAAAGTAAGGTAACCATGGTGCTAAAGTAGACCATTATTATTATTACCACACGTCTAGCTTAATGTTTTTTATGCCTGTGTCATCAGGTCGTTGCCATTCACAACTCACCTGAATTTCGTTTTGGACAACGTCTCAACATTCCGATGAATAAAGGTATTTGAATTTCTGTCAATAGCTAGATGATAACAATAATGACAATAATATGGCAAAGGTGATGGCGATTATCATCGATAGCAAAATGGTTATCATTGGTAATATTTGATCATGACATTGATGATGATGTAATCAATGATGATGATTGATAAAGATGATTTATGATGATGACGAAGATGATTTATGATGATGACGAAGATTATAATGATAATAATAAAAACAATGATGACGATGATTGAAGATGATAACAATAATGACTGATGATGATGACMATAATGATGATAAAGAAAAGAATGATGATGAATAACAAAAATGACTGCTGATGACTGATGGTTGATAACGATGATTGATAAAGGTGATTTATGAGCAGGGGAATTTTGTCTGCGCATGCGTACGCTTTTTGGTTTTCTCCGCGCTTGGGCTTTCTGAGGTAAGCGGGAAACTTTATATTTGTAAACAAAGATGGCTCCTAATATTCACTTACTAAAACTTTAATTATTTCCCTTTTTCTGCTTTCTGCTGTTTCATGTACAAGAAAATTCTCAGAGAAAAAATGCATTGTCTGTAAACGTCAATGTGAAGWAAAAACAAATTCTACCAGAAGTGTTTCCCTTACCTGGAACRCAGGCTAGCYACTYTAATAAATGAAGGAAGTACCAGAAGGCGTCTTGTCTTTGTCTTTTTATGCGCGCGCGTTATCGATTTTTTGTCATCTCCCCTACCCACCTTGGTAACAATTTTGTTTTTCTACTATAAAATATACTAAAAAAGGTAGGCAACTTCACGGGCTTCCTGTGGAAAATTCAAACTTTGACGAGAGAAGGCCGCGAATTTATCCAGATATTTTGACTCCGAAACAAAAAAGTATACAGAACGTCGTACTTACATCTAATCTTCAATAATTTAAAGGATTTTTGATAATAAATTCTCTATAAGGAGGGGGTTTTTTGGGCTTTTTTAGCGAAAACTTATGTGCCGTCAGTTATGCTTGCATCCGAGCGGGCCTGAACACGAGAAAAGGGATCCAAAACAAGTCCTCTCCCTCCCTCTCCAAGTGTTTTTGGTTCGTTTTTGGTTGGTTGGGAAGCATGTGGTAACGAATCAAAAATAAATTCGCGGCTTTCTCTCGTCAAAGTTGGAATTTTCCACAGGAAGTCCGTGAAGTTGCCTACCTTGTTAGTATATTGTATAGTAGAAAAACAAAATTGTTACCAAGGGGGGGGGGGGGGGGGGGGGGTAGGGGAGACGACAAAAAATCGATAACGCGCGCGCATAAAAAAGACAAAGACAAGACACCACTTTTAGAGTATTTCCTTCATTTATTAGAGTGGTCAGCCTGTGCCTGGAATACGTAAAAAGTTGTTTCGGATTTACTTACGACGGCTATAGATTGTTTCTCATCACACGTTCTCAATCAGCTAAAAATGTAGCTTCCCGAATTTTTAGAAAGTTTATTTTACAATATTTTGGTTCCCCATTGAATAAAGGCTCATGGCCAGAAATCTCGGCCATTTTGCTCCCGCGGTCAAGTCAGTGGAATTACCCATATGACATATATTCAATATAGCGACACTCAGAAAGAAAGACTATGGTAAGGGTTACTACCAACAGTTAAACAACATTTCATCGGTCATTTTACATGAAAGCAGAAAGGTTTATGCTTCTCTCTCAAAGTTCTAAATCATAGTTAACAAATGTTTCGTTAAAAAAACAAGCTACACAAATTAACTTTAAAAAGAGCTGTTTAAATGGAGGTCGAAGGACAGGACCTCAAAGGATAATTTACATATATAATTACACCTTTTGCTGTTCATTAACCGCAAAGGAATATTCATTAAAGAGAAGAAGCATTGCCATTAGAGCGAACACGCATGCAATAAGGCGAACGAAGTCTCAATAGTGCGATGGAACGTTCATTAAGAAATTTGGCATTGAATTTGACAATCATGAATATGTTTGCGTGGGTTCATTACCGTTTTCAAATTTTCATTAGCGTTTTGGTGCAGACAATAAACCACAACACGCATTCAATACAGTGTTTTGGACATTTATTTACGCAATACCATATAAGTATATTGTGCTTTTACGATTGTACATTTTCAAAACCAAAAAAGTTAATTTATCCTTAAATGTGATCTCTATTTAAACATCTTGGACGATATGTTTGCATGTGGTTGTACCATTTTATGCATTTCTGTGGATCTTCATCGATCTGACTTCATTTGGAATTTGGTTTCTTTGTTGAACGATTGCAACATCCAAAAAAGAGGGATTAAAAAACTCAGAACTGACTTAATATTTATACCTAACGGCGCTTTGTTTGTACGAAATCATATTCACGGCTTGTAAAAAAAATGAAAAGACAGTTAAAATCCTACARTTCCTAGTGGAAAATATACTTATATTGTATTGCGTMAATAAATTTCCAAAACGCTCTATTGAATGCGTGTTGTGGTTAAGTTGCTTATATAAAGTCATTTTTTGCTTAGAAATTCAGCCACGATCTTTCCAAGAAGTGTACAACGCATTAATAGAGAAGAAGGCGTACGGTGCTTTTTTAGATRCGTACGCCATCGGCCAACAAAAGCACCTGTTTGAACATCCCACTCTAAAGTTTGTTAAAATCTACGACTTCCGATCTGCGTATGGGATTGTGCTGGGTGGTACGTCCTGGAGACTCAGGACATGCTTTTACCGGTACCTGCGGTCTAAAAGAGTGGAGGTTTTTGAACGCATCACAAAATACACCAAGTTTGTTGAGGCGGTGAGTTATTTGACAGAAGCCCGGCCGATTTAGGACTAAATATATCTTTCTTGAGTTAGTAAAATACAGCTGTATTCCTTGACTACAGATTCATTTACGCAGGGTTAGCCTCGAATTTGCGTAGAATATGCATGTGTTCCACTAAAGGCCCGCGGAACTTCAAAGTGCTTGTATATATTAGTTATGCATTCTTTATTTTATGGTTGATAGTAGAGTAGTATTYATAAACCCATGAAATACACTTAAATAACCTATTTAGTGCTATTACACTCTAATACTTTTGTTTTTTTGTTTCTATTGTGTTTATCTGAATACTACACCCTCGTTAGTACACTTTGTTTCATGAGTTTATGAAAACCACTCTAGCAAATATTTTGGATGTAAAATGATGCTAACTCAGCGTAAATGGCTCTCCCTTCAGGAGAGTATTGGAAAGAGTGCGTCGTTCTTATACTGATTTGGTTATTTTGAGCCGTCGCAAAATTAACAAGTTTTGACACGGGAAAACGTGTCAAATGTGCTGGGCACATTGGATACTTTGAATAGAGTAGAAGACTATTTGGGATTTAGTCATTGTAAGACAGAAGAAAGTCCGTGGATTCGGTTTGAATATTTTTTTACGGTCAAATTGAACCAGCATAAACGAGTCTTGGTCGCAAACCCCAAAGCAAACCTCYGTCTCTCTGAGAACCAGTGTTATAGTGRCTCCATCGGCTCAAAAACACCACACAAAACATTATTGAACAGAAGATTCTMCATCTACAGAAAAAGTTTGGTCTCGAAAATTTACCTCAGAATACCCTGCGAGCAGAGTCTCCTTTACCTTCCCCCAAGTGAGAGAAAGGAAAGAAGACTCTTTCCTTTCTCTCACTCGGGGGAAGGTAAAGGAGACTTTGCTCGCAGGGTAACCTCAGAATGGAAATATTACGAAAAACGTATCTCTTTCCCTACACTTCTAAGTAAATTTGCCCCCCCAAACAATATGGCGTCGGAAAACGTGAAAGGAACTATAAATAAACTAATACAAAACTCGTGTGAGTACTCTTTTATGTAAATTATGACGCAGTAAATTCCTCGTCCACCCACTCGTTGAAGGTTTCGGCATGAAAA